TATATAATGTACTAATTTGTATATATGCAATAAAAATTATATATGCAGTATGTAATTACCGCTAAATGTGTATACACAAAATAAATACATAATGCATAATACATAACATTTTTAATAACAAAAATGTGTGTGTGTATATATATGCACAATTCAAAATAAATAATTATGTATATTTTTCTTAATTCAAAACGTTTATATATATATATGCAAAAATTATTTAAACATGCTGTATGTGATTACAGCTATATATCTGTGTATACACAAAATAAATGCATAATACATAGCATTTTTAAATATGCAGTATGTAGTTAGTAGTTACAGCTCTTTCTTGACACAATGCCTACAAGTCATGTAAAAATCTTATTGCTTTATTTTAATTTTTGTACATTATCATAGTTTTATAATTATGAATATAATAATTTTAAACATGTAGTTATGTTATATAAATAATCATATCAAAAAGTTTTTTTTCTTGTCCTTCTGATTTTGGGGTAAAGCATGAAACAGTATTTTGATGATGTTCGTATCATGCATGACTTTAAGCTTTGAGAAGAGTATTCTTGCGGCGTGTCCCTTAGCTGGCCTCTTTCTGTTGTGCAGCTTTGTGTTTTCGCCTGGCGTGGCTCTTTAAAGCGCTCTATTTCTGTGTCTCAGCGTACTTGGAGGAGATCCAGTCCGTGAGGCGACACACCAACAGCTCCTGCGATCCAAAGAACACAAACCTGCCGGTCCTGGTGCACTGCAGCGCAGGGGTGGGACGCACTGGTGTGGTCATCCTGTCTGAGATCATGATAGCTTGTCTGGAACATAATGAGGTACATGTGTCCTGTGCTTACAGTGGCACGAACGCATGAGAGATTTAGTGCATGCCACCAGCTTTTTTCAGGGCGGAATGGTGACAGTTACCAGGGTAAACAACGTACACTTCTTACCACTGGCAGAAAGAAATGTTACACTTCTGCTAAGCGTACAAACACATGGTTGCTAGGAATAGAGGTGATGACGTTCTCTGCAGATGTCAGCATGTGGACAGGTTTGTATTGCACTTAGACCTGGTATACACAGTCAATGTGACGAAATCACAGCCGAGAGGCACGGAAGTGCAGACAGTGGTACTGTTATGTAACTCGAGGACGATTGTTCAGCCATTAAAACACTGAAAATGCTGTTACACAATTTTCCAAACATCGATTGCAAGAACTTGATGTAACCTAGGAATCTTGAGACAGACACATTGAACAGACTATACTTTAATGCAATGCTTAAATCAAAATTAAGTATGGTGCATAGGGTTGCGTCGTACTTGTCACAGTATGAGAATTTTAATGTCACGATTACAGTATATATTACAAATTAATTACTTTCACTGGAAATACAATTGAAAAATGTTTTATTTAAAAATAACTGTTTTAATGTCTATTTTTAGTAAACCATTGAATGGACTGAAAATCACATCAAATAAAACTAAAATGTAAAAATGATTTACTATTAAGTATTAAAATATTAAAATGATTTAATTAAATTAATGTATAATTATTATTATTTATATTATTGATGGACAAAGCATTTATTGAATGATTAAATATCTGATATCAGTACAAAAAAAAACTTCATATTATAAAGAAACACTTGAGTTCAAACCTAAAGATTTAATTATTTGTATTTATATATATATTTTTATTTTTTGTGTACCATTTTATATACAGTTTTAAATCAAAATGGTTTGTATTGAATGAATCAGTCTGATATCTGTGAAAACAGCTTTATATGAAATTTGAAACACTTGATTTCAAAGTTAAAGACTCAAAATTCAAGTAATTTTTAAGTAAAATATTTCTAGCAAATAAATGAATCAGTCTGATATCAGTGCGAAAACAGCTTCGTATTATTAAAGACTTGAGTTCAAACTTAAAAACTCACAATTATATATCTAATTATGTTTTGATTATTATACTATAATGTTTTGTAATTAAATATAATTAATAAATAATTCATATTGATATATTTCTATTAATTATTCTATTCATTGTTTTACTTATTAACCTTTTCAGATTCAATCCTTGAAATCATTTTATGTGAAGCACTTTGAATTATCATTGTATTTGAATTTTGCTTTATAAATAAACTTGCGTTGCATTGCTCATTTATTTAATATTATAAAACACATAATTCAGACTCTTAAATTCGGATTGGCCGTATTCAAAACTGCTGTGAAATACTCATGTTTCAATGCTGACGCGTCTGTTTCCTGACAGATGCTGGACGTCCCGACTGTTCTGAACTTGCTGCGGCAGCAGCGCATGATGATGGTACAGACGCTTTCACAGTACACCTTCATATACAAAGTCCTCATTCAGTTCCTGAGAAACTCCAGACTGATCTGAGACCAGCGCTGGCACAGGGGTCCCACGAGCCTCTCACAACCCCTCAGTCCCCGCCGGAGCGGCGACAGCGTGGCTTCGCTTCCTCACAGTATTAGTGACGGGGCAAGTATGAAGGACGCTGCGCCACACTCTGTTTTACCAGTATTATTCACAGATTTCACTGTGGGCTTGTACACGGATGTCAGTCCCAGCACTTTTATTTTGCTGTACATAGACGCGAAGGACGCAACTCTCTTATTTAATACGATACGCTGAACTGCAGTGGTTCTTTTATACCGGGTGGGATTTTATTCGTTTACGTATGAAGGTTTAACGAGCCAAAATGAAAATAGCGGACACAGTGTTTAAAAGATGTGTGACAAGGTGAACCCCAATAATAGATGAATCTCACGAAAAGCCCAAATTTGGTGTCAAAATGTGCTTGCAGTTATGCTGAAATGCAAAAAAGGCTTGCTTTTCTGTATGCAAAATATCTAAATGCTCATTTCTTTTCATGAGATTCACCCATTTGCATCATGGGACGTCCGGTGTTACACGGCATGTTAAAGTGAAGCTGTTGCTTGAGATTTTACCATTTAACCCCACGAACGGGTTTCACCGATCAAACGCGTCTCAAGTTTGAATGCAGCCAAAGACAGAAGGGTTTATTTTCTGATCGCAGATGCAACCTATAAATAATTTACAGTATATATTAAAATTGCATATGAAAACTGTATTCCACGTATAATAATCATTAAGGCTTTCTCATTGCATTAGGGATGATTTTGCATTTTTCCAGCTCTTGCCACATTTCCACCAGCATTCAATAACCTGACACACCAAAGAGCGTCACAAACTCGACTTCTGCTTTGGAGTGAACAATACTGTGGGTTTATTGTGAACAGTTTGTGACCTCATTATCTTAAACACACCAGCTATGATGGTCTACCAAAGAGTTTTCACCATATCGAATTATTTGAGTCTTAAAACACTGTGAAACTGCATTATCCATTCTGTTTTCGGAGGATCTGAAGGAGCAGAATGTGCCATAGCAAATCATTTGGACCTTTTGCGTTTGAATTTGCAGTTTGAATTGCAGTCAGGTCGTTATGTATGATAAAGCAGTGCAGATTGATGCTACATTCCACCGTAATGCTGCTGTTGCATGCTCTTAAAGGAATAGTTCACCCAAAAATGTACATTTACCTAAAATGTACTGAATTTGCAGAAGTCCATCACTTGCTCACCAATAGAACCTCTGCAGTGAATGGGTGCCGTCAGAATGAGAGTACAAACAGCTGATAAAAACACATCACAATAATCCACACCACTCCAGTCCATCAGTTAATATCTTGAGAAGACAAAAGCTGTGTTTGTAAGAAACAAATCCATCATTACGACATTTTAAACGGTCACCTCTGGCCAAAATCCATAATAACACTTCCTCCAGTGAAAAAGTTCATCTCCTGTTGTCTCTCACATCAAAATCCAGCCACATAGTTGTTTAGTGCCGTTTTGGCTTGAAATCTGTGCAGATTTCTCTACGGATTCAGATGTCTTTTTTTTTACTAGAAAAAGCATTATTATGGACTTAAAGATGGATTTGTTTCTTACAAACACGCAGCTTTTCACTGTACAAGATGTTAATTGCTGGAGTGGAGGGGTGTGGATTACTTGTGGATTATTGCAATGTTTTTATCAGCTGTTTGGACTCTCATTCTGACGGCACCCATTCACTGCAGAGCATCCATTGCTGAGACACTGATGCAATGCTGCATTTCTCCAAATCTGATGAAGAAACAAACTCATCTACAATCTTGGGTGGCCTGAGGGGAGTACATTTTCAGCAAATCTTCATTTTTAGCGAACTATTGCTTTCAACCCCGAACGTACCTGCAGCTTCCCGTTCAAACAAAAGCTTGGTGTGATTTATTTTAGATTTATATGAATTATTGTAACAGTCATTTGCAATTTTTTGAAAGTATCCCATTTTTGTGGAGCCAAATTTTGCCATGGGTGATTTACACAGAAACTTTCGAGAAACGTCCAGGTCATATTTCACTACAAAAATCAAAGGAAAAAAGCAATGCAATTTAAGTAATAAAATAAATTTGCAAAGTGCAATTGAAAGTATTTGTTGTACTGAATTTAATTTATTGTTTGCAGAAAGGACGATGTATTACTGAATTTCAGTAATGAGGATGAGATTTCTTTCACATGACAGTAATGAGAATTTGAGGGCAAATAGTTGCTTAATTGTTATGGGGAAAAAGGCAGAATAGTTGTCCCAGAATATGCTACAGTATAAAATTAATTATATTATATTTTTTTCTTTTGATTTTGGGTTGAAATATGATCAGAAATGTTTTTGGTAAGAGTCACTCTCTTTATTCAGTTCTGACTGGTGCCTAAAACAATAGCAGTGTGTCCTTGTTGGGCTTTGGTTAAACTGTAAAATAAACTATTTTTTGTTGTGAAGGACAGTCACTTTTTCACATTATCCCGTGCATCGGAATATCATGGAACATTAATTCAAAAACAGACTAAAACAGAACATATCCACAGTTTGAGTTCCTTCACCACAGCATTTATCCATCAATACTATGAATGAGGTAAAAGTCATTTAAGTGTTTTGCAGTACATGGTTGTAGAAGCACAATGTCTGTCTCAAGCCTTTTCATAATTCATGCCGAGTTTTGTTGGTTTAGATTTAGACGAACTGCTGCGATGTTTGAGGTTTGCTCATGTGAATGGACAATGATCAGTGTTCATCTGAACTGGAAAAATTAACTTCAAGACAGTAATGAACAAAGCTGAAAACTGGACTGTAAAAGCCCTTCCCAGAGCTGCTTTTTGGAATACATGTATATTAATAGCAGAAATTGTTTATATTGCTGATTTTAAGTGTTATTTACTTTTAACCACATTGCATTTGAAGCTAGTAAAACTGCTGTTTACCCCAGATGTTTCGGTTGTGTAGAGCGAGATCTCAGCCGTCGCTGCCGCCATCATGAGTGCGTGTTCTGATGATGTACAGCTGTCAGAAGAGCTAAATTATATCCCATTGTAAACAACTATATTTTTCTTTCAGAAAATAAATATTTTAAATTGTTAAAATAATGCTTTGTGTCTCTATCTTTTGCATGGTTTAAGTGCATTTTTTTTAATACAATATAGATAGATATAATGGCATTGACAAATTTCCTTTACAGCAAAGCAATGTTATTTTAGGATTATATGTAGTGCAATTTAATTATATGTATGATAAGTATATTATAAATAATGTATTGTAATTTGTAATTAGCTTTGATTTTTATATATTCAGTTTATCTTAATTGAACTTTTATTAATATTATTTGATTGGCATTTTTAATTATTATTTTTGTTTTTTGCTTTATTTCAGCTTTTTTTCATTTATTTTAGTTTGTCATTTTAATACTTTAATACTTATAATACTTTTATATATTAAACAATTTTTGACAATTCTTGTATTAGTAAAAATGTGACTGCATATGGGTAGTTGACAAATGTACCGTAAATGTGTCCAATGGTGTGACAGCAAAAATTTAGGGAAAAAAAACGAACGATGAAGAAAAATCTCTGTTATGCTATTTGTATATTATTAACAAGAAATTAATTATTAATAATACATTTTCTACATTTTGCTGTTACACATGTACGGTATATATGTCAACAACCCATATACATATAAATACTAAAAAATTATACTGATTCTGCAAATCAAGTCATTTTATTGGTTTATTTACAATTTAAGTAAATGTTTCATTTAATTTATATCTCCAATGTATCCCAGCAGCCACTAGAGGGCGGCATGTTTCATGTGATGGTTTTGTGGCCGCATCAAAATGCATTGTCGGAATAATCTTGAAGAACATGAATGGATTTTAACCTTTTGATGCACAACAAGGGTATAAAGTGACCCGACTGAGTTTATTTTTTTTATATTTCTTTGCAAGAAATTAATTTCATCATTCAGAATTCCAGTAATGCCTTTAGGTTGACAAATTGAATTTATATAAACTGCAGGGTCTTTTTCATCTGCTCTTTTGGTTCTAGTTTTTTCTTCATTTGTTGTTTGCTCTTCTAGAGAGATATGACTCATTTTATGTGTCTGCATAACCCTAGTACATAATCCTGACCATTTTTCTGGTAATGTTGGCAAGAGGCCTTATTCTAATCCACATATCCACCATATGTCTGCCAAAGCAATATCAATTTCATCAAATATAGGTGGTGGGCCTTCTTTTATCCCTAAATAGTCATCTTTACATTGTGGTATTTTCCATGTTTTGATGCATTTCCCTTCAAATCTTCCTACGTCAATATTTCCCTTCTCATAACATTCAAATTCTTGATCTGCCATTAAGTGTATTTTTCCTTGTGGCTTTTGTATTTTTTTTATTTCCGTACTATTGGCCATTTACGGGTACGTACACACTGTAATTCAGTTGCTTCTCTGTAGTTTGTTGTAGACTGGAGAAACTGGCACCAGTATGGGCATAAATAATGCAATTTTTTGGGTACAATTTCTAAAGGTATTTATGTCTCTGCCTCTTTCTATTAAGCATTTACCTCCCAGTTCTATTACATCTAAATCACAGGTTTTCAAACTTTGGGTCGCAGAGTGGGACAAGGTGGGTCGCTCAAAGTCACTTGGCTGTAGCTAAATTTGCATTTCAATGACACGCACACACATACTCACACACAGTTCAGTCAAGGGCTACACGATATACCAATATTAATTACAAATTGCGATATTGCTTAGTGCGATTTTCGAATCGCAAAGGCCGCAATTTAAAACATGCGTTGCGTGTTTTGAAGTGGGGGCACACACTAGTTGTAACAACAGCGAGGGTCTCAGAGTGATGGTTCATTATTAAGAGGAGGCTCATCTGTAAATGAAGAAATTAAAACATAAATATTATTAGTGAAAATTTACAGTTGTACTATAACATAAAATGGTTATTTTTCTTAAATATTTAATTTCTGCCATATTAAACTTTTAATTAAGATTAAGCTTGCAGTAATGTCAATTTATTTATTTTTTATCTCAAATATTTTGGTGGGTCTTGAAATATTATACTTGTTTAGGTGGGTCGTGGAATGGAAAAGTTTGAGAACCCTTGTCTTAAACCATTCATCATGAAATATTCTACAACTTGAACTGTGTATGAGTGTTGGTACAATATATAAGACTGGTCTTGCTTCAAAGCAAACTGCAGTTTTCCCATTTTTCTTTTTCTGCTGTGTAATTTACCCATGTATACCAATTATTTTCTTCTACGTTCTCCTATAAAACATTTGAATTGCTTATTTTCTTCTAACTCATATTATGATTATCATCTACAATGTGTCTATTTTGCCTAGATATGTTTTGTTTCCTGTCCAATTCTTGTTCTTCTTGAATTAAGTCAAAGCCACTGCTGGATTCAACCAAGGGTTGACAAGTTGATTCTAGGGAAGTCTGGGTGCTGTTGGCTACAGCTTGAGCTTGTAGAATTAGATGCATTAGGCATGTGATGATCATCAGATATCTTTTTTAATTTGTCATGAGTTTGCACTTCATCTTGTGTTACTGGTCTTTCCTTGTCACTTTCTCGCTTATTGTCTGTTTCAAGTTTCCTTCTCTTTCTATGTCCTCTTTTCCATTTGTTGGCCCACATCTGCTCCCAAATATTTTGATCTCGTTAGTTGTCCCATCAATCATTCCATCTTCACCAGGGTGACTCTTTGCGAGTCGTTGCAATGGTCTTTCCCTCGTTGGCAAGGGAGGGTCGTTACTAGCACGCCCTTCATCCCTCACTTCATGCTGTGTGGGGTTGTTGAAGCTGGATGGTGTATTTTAAGGTGAGAGATGTGGTGGTGTCTCACTCTGCAACCATTTTGCTGCTCAATGCAAGATTCTCCCTTTAGATCATAACCGCACACTCACTGGTACTTCTTGGTGGAGCAAACCATTCCCTGGCCTTGATAGCACTGCTGTCACCTGTAAATGGAAACCTTCAGAGTTTTTGTTAGTGATATCACCTTACTATTTTTCAATTAATTTCAATTTTATTCTCAACAATTTACTAATTCGCTTATTTCTGTTTTTTTAAACTAAGTTCCACTATATCACCGGATAATTTCCTAGGCCTATCTTGCTCACTAGCACAGGAAAACACTCAACCCACTTTATTATGTTAACAGTCAGAAAGACAATATTTGATCCTTTTGACACAGAATCAGCTTCATCGTGATATGCTGAAAAGAAAGTTAGATGTGGGGTGGA